AAAGAAAAAGATGTTACTTTCAGAGCATAAAAATGGAAAAGAAAAAAAAAAAAAAAGCAGCAAAGCATTGCAACTACAGTGACACATCCAACAAATCAGAGCAGTTCAGCAGTGCTTGGACCAGACCAGAAAAGACCCCTCCAGAAATGCATACAGAAACCTGATGAGGAACAGTCAAAGCATAAATATGAAAACCTGAGAGACACGAATTTGTTATGCACACGAAGTACCTTTCAATCCTGTAAACAGTCATCAGATCATTACCTGCTTCCTTCAGTGAGCACCACATTGTAAAATATGCAATATAAAGTACAGGAACCTTTTTTTTTTTTTTTTCCATTGCAGAAACTTCATCTGAAGAACTTTATTTATGCCATACATATTTCGGACTTCCAAATTTTCTGTTACACAGTTCCTGCCCAAGACAAACAATCACTGAGATGGGATCGAAAGACAAACTCTCTGTAAAACAAGCCCTGTGGACAGTGGTTTGCTTCAGGCATTTGCTGGGACCTGGCTGCCTGCATCCAGCTGTGGGCTGCCAATCAGGGATGAGTTTTGGGGGTTTTCATCACAGGACTTGGGGTCACAGTCAGAGATGAGCATGTCCCTGGTCCCCTGGGCAGAGAGGGCTAAGAATGACCAGGGCTCAGCCCCAAGCATACTGTCACTTGCCCCACGGCCTGCTGGAAGTCACTTCTGCCCTTAGAACTACTTCAAATGTTAATGGAAATTAAGGAAACATTCAGAGTGGAAATAACTTCTGCCCTGCTCCACTGCACGTGGTGTTTCTCATGATTTTCCTCTCTGGAGTGCAGACATTTCTCATTCATTCAACGGGAAGACAAAATATCAGATGCTTTGAATGGCACTTCACGCTTTCCATTTTAGAAAAAAAACCCCACATTTTTCAGTGTACAGGTGTGTTTTTCACTTTATTATAGAAAATGCTATGCATTTGGTGTGCATGTTTTCAAGCATAATTCACTACCTCCAGCTACAGAACTGCTGTTGGATAATCAAGACAGCTAGCCTGAGGACCCTAAGCCCTTGTAAGCCAAAGAAAAACCTGAAATTATGACATCAAATATAATTAAGTGTATAGTGTTTATTTTGCAAATAAAATAACAGAAACATATTTGGCTTATAAGGATGCCCAGGGAAATTAACAGCCATCTGTAGGGCTGCGTCTGCAAATACATGGAATTAGTCTGGCCTTAATTGTCAGGCTTCATACACACACGGATTATAGATGGCAAAGATACATACCTTTTTTAACAGAACAGAGGTGGCTATAATCACAGAGGTGCAAGTGAACAAACAACTGTGCAAAGGAAAAATGTTTTAAATTACAATTTCCTGTGCAAATACATTCAAGAAAATCTCACTTTTTTAAATAGATTTATGTATAATCCTGTTTTAGTAAAGCGTATGTTGCTGGTTGAACCTACTCTTGGCATTGACGCAACAGTTCCTTGCAGGTACAAACAGTACAGGACAAAGCACAGGCATGCTCCACTACAGGTGCAGTCTTTTATCCAAGGGCAGAGCAGCACAGGGACGGACAATTGATTGCTCATAGATAGGTTGAGTCTGATGTGCTACCGGCAACATCTTTCTCATTTTGCAGGTTGGGCTCATTAAGGAAATGAAGAGCAGTTACTGAATATAGAAAAGAAAAATGGCACAGAACAATTTTCAGGAGCCCACTGAGGTTTGGGAGCAGAGGTGTGCAGGGACAGCCAGCCCTGGCAGCACGCCGGGGCATGTAGCGGTGCAGAGCTCCTTCTTGTAAAATCAGTGCTGTGAACTGTGCCTATGGCAGAGGCCAGCAAAAACCAGATAATCTGGCTTAGTTATCAGCAGGAATTCCTCTCTAAAGGAGCTGTGCTTATTTAACCTCAGGAATAAAACAATCCTGACAAATGAAAGGCTCTGTAGGTTCCAAACCCACCAATTTCCGGCATTTTAATGAAGCTGAAAACAGAAATTAAGGGACAGAGGGAAAAAAATAAAGCATAAATGTGTTCAATTTAAGAGTGAGAAAGAGAAGCCATCCTGCTCAGCTTTTAGGATTTAGTCTTTCTTTTTTCATCTTGTTTCTTTCTGCTGCTCAGATGGCACAGTTTGAGCAATTTGTTAGTTTGCCTGCCCTGAGCTTTGATAAGAGCACTGTTGCTGCCTGCTCAGTGCTGTGAGAGGCCCTCATCTATTCATAATTTGAGAAGGAAATGGGTATCACATCCTAATCCACCCAAGTGCAGAAAAATTCATTATACTCAAGAATGCTTGAACCTGGAGAGGAATAACCACATGCATCAGTACAGGTTAGGGGCTGACCTGGTGGAAAGGAGCACTGCGGAGAAGAACCTGGGTGTCCTGGTGGATAATAGGTTGGCCATGAGCCAGAAACATGCCCTGGTGGCCGAGAAAGGCCAACGGGATCCTGGGGTGCATTAAAAAGCGTGTGGCCAACAGGTCGAGAGAGGTGATCCTCCCCTCTTACCCTGCTCTGGTGAAACACGTTTAGACTACTGTGTCCAGTTCGGGGCTCCCTGGATCAAAAAAGACAGATCTCTTAGAAGGAGTCCAGCAGAGGGCCACAAAGATGATTAAGGGCCTGGACCACCCCCCATGTGAGGAAAGGCTGGGTCTGTTCAGCCTGGAGAAAAGAAGACTGATGTCTATAAGTACCTAAAGGGAGGTGGGAGGCAAATGGATGAGGCCAGGCTCTTCTTGGTGGTGTGTAGCAATAGGAGAAGGAGTAATGGCCTAAAACTTGAACATAGGAAGTTCTGTAATAACATGCAGAAGAACTTCTTTACAATAAGGGTGACAGAGCACTGGAAAAGGTTGCCCAGAGAGATTGTGGAGTCTCCTACATGGATATTGTATTCTAGATCCATCTGGACACCTTCCTTTGTGACCTGCTGCAGGGAACCTGCTTTAGCAGGGGTGTTGGACTGAATGATCTCTTCAGGTCCCTTCCAACGTCTGCAATTCTGTGAACTCTTTTCAGACTGAGTCTAAGGTAAAATGGGAAGGAAGTAAGGAAAAGCATCAGTTAGGCATCTGGCTTACATAAAACTGCATTTGGAAATCTGAAAGGCCATTTTACTCAAGAATACACGTTAGCCTTCTTGTGCATGTCCACTATGCCCACCAGTGGGCTGAGGACAGCAGCTGCACCAGCCCCTGAGAGGGGGAAGAAAACCCTGCCTGCTCCTGCCCCACCATTCCAGGAGGGCAGTGTTGATGTCAGTCACTTCCTGAGCCCTGCCTTGGGGATGGATTTATTGTCTAGTGTCAAAACTCCAAGTAGCTCAGAAAACAGAACTGCTCCCTGACTAGAACCAGAGGCCAAGACCTAAATGTCACCACCTGGGGACTGAGAAGGGAAGAGGAGTAGAGCCACCTCCACCATCTATGGCAGATCTGCCATTCTTCCATTCCTGGAGACCTTCAGGAGCTTCCAGGCTTCATCTGGGATTGCAAATACAAGGGGACGAGGGAGAAGGAAGGACCACCTGGTATCCCAGAGGCTGCAGAAACATCATGAGCAACAAGAGGACAGAGCTGCGTTCTTGCATAGATAGACTTTCAAGTGTAAAACAAGATCTTAACCACACCTGTTCTCCCCACAGGAGTGAAAACAGTCTTATAGTCAAAGTCAACAACCACAAAACAATTTTAAAATAAGGCCCTGGAGGTACCTGTCACGTCACAGGGGCATGGCGTAGAAAGGGAGTGAAGGCTCTGCATGCCCCAGCAGCCCTGTACATGCTGAGGGCTCATTTCACAGCCTCGCATGCCTTGCTTGAATGCTCAGGGTGTACCACCATAGCAGAACTGCATCGGACAAGTAGCTCCTTGTCTAGAATGTTTAGCTTGGCAGGTTGAGAATTTACTAAGCTTAAAAGAACACTTGGCTCTTTAAAAAAAAAAAAAAAAAAAAAAAAAAAAAAAAAAAAAAA